CTATAATGAAAAGCATGTCCTGAATCTGTCATGGGAGATTAGGTGAATGTGATTACTGTTGTCCTTTTGCCAGTGTTGATTTATACCCAGCGGCAGTACAGTCGAACCATCCCAATGTGTTTTACCTCTCTTTATACCAGAGAAGATTAAAAAGATTGAATTGCTGATAAGGTCTTAAAATAAAGAAGTTTCGTCGGGACCGTGGTCAAAATAGAAAGAAAGTGACTATTTTACTCACACAATGCATTGCAAATTAATTTAGACTCTTTCGGGAATTTCCATGATTAAAGCTTATGGCTATATTTTCAACTCTAGGTGTTAATACTTCAGACCAAAGCACAGGTTAGCTCAGGTATGCTTGGCCATCCTTTGTTTGCTGCCCATTAGAACATTCAGTCTGGAGAAAGGTCAAGCCATGTGTCTGACATCCAGCCGAAAATGTGCGTCATTGCTATGTGGTCATGTACTTCTCACCACACAGAACATGTGACATTTTATTGTGATATATATTAAGAAGGCCTTAGCTTTTTTGGAAAGGCAAGCTGCCACTTTTGTTGCATGCATGGTTCACAGCTGCCAGTATGAGGAGGATTGTGGGATGAACTTCACTATGTGCTTACATAAACAAATATTGTCATGTTTAGTACTTTGGAAAGTGCCTACAGTTCTGTGTTGGATTCAATTAACTGAGCAGTCTTTATCTTTACCCGGTCCTATGTTGGCAAGAGCTGTGAATGTTATAAGCGTGGGTGCTCTGAGAACAGCTACTACCTAACTGAGAGTGAGAACAAGCCATTTTCTCTTGGCTCTAATTAGGATATGACAGATTGTAATGCAGTCCAGGTTCAACAGAGTTTCTTTGTAATATTTCTAGTATTGTTTTCATTACAAGGATAGTTCATCCAAAAATACATTTTGTCACATTTGCTCACACTTATGTTATTCTAGTGTGTGTCTTCTTTGTGTCTTTTTAAGGGGAACATACTGTAAGAGAAATATTAAGACTTTTTTCACAGCTACTTTGTGAATATGTGAATATTCACAGTCTATGTGTGTTTTCCTTGCAAATGTGTTACCTAGTTTCTGTTATGGAGTGAGCATGATCACTATGCTGTGTTGCGATATTTACCTGGGAAATTAACTGTGCTGTGCATGCCAGTACTGAGATTGTAGGTTTGGGGTACAGCGTGAACAAATTGTGTAAACATGCTAAATCTGCAACTGAGAAAACGGCTTGGAAGTTGTTTGATCAAATTTTGATTGATTTGATATTAGCTTTCACGCTGAATCTGATCATAACTGAGCTAAATTCAATCAACAGTAGACAAATCCTTGGTCTATAGCCTTGTTTAAACAACAACCAAATACCACCAAACCACCAAATGTTTTTTATTGATTTATTGATTTATTTATTTATTGCTGTCTGAAGATGAAGATATATTTTAAGTCTCATTATTAATTTTAAATGTGTTTCAAAATTAATCATTACATTTGTTCCATTTTCTTTGTGTTGCCCATTAAAAAAAAAAACAGTATACTTAAAAAATTAAAGTAAATAAAAAGCTGCTTTGTTTTTATTGTTGTAAGTTTATTTATTTATTTATTTATTTTTATTCAAGAATGAAAATATACAACCACAATAAGGAGATCAATGTAAGAGAGATATAAAGAAAAAGGAAAATACAAGCTACATAAGCTGCAGAAAGAAAAAAAAAGAATAACAAAACTAAGAAAAGGTTAAGTAGATTTCAATTGTATAAAAGTGTATGAAAATAAACAAATTAACAGCATTAGAGAAAAGCTATCTATCTATCTATCTCTAATCAGAGTCAATTGAAAACAGCTCTTCATGTAGTACCAATATCTGACACATTTATATTGTTACACATATGGAAAGATTTGAGCAGTGAGTCAACTTCAATCAGAAAGTGTCTAAAGGTAGGGATTGAAGCCATGCTTTTTTTGTGTGTATAAAACATTTCCAACCAAGATAAAAAAAAAAGTTGAAGATAAATTCTTTAGATTTACAGTATGTGCAAATTTCGAGTAATAACAAATAATTTATTTTAAACTAAAAGATTGTGCAAAGGAATTTTAGAACAAATTCGCACATACAAAAAAAATGTACATATTGTTTCATCATCCTAACCACAAAATGTACAATTATTTGAAATATCAACATATTTGGAAACAAATGAGTTCGCCAGATGTATTTTATGCAATATTTTAAAGTGGATTTCTTTAATTTTATTAGTAAGAAAGTATTTATGAGGGAAGAACCAAGCCTTCCTTCAGTCATTATTCTTGATTATGCAGCCCAATGAAATTTGCCTGGCGGAACAATATGATTTCTATGCTAAAGAATTAGATAAATATGTTTATTATTACAATTTTATCATGAATGTCAATGCCGTCCAGCAATATTGCTGATTCCTTCATATTTTTGTATTGTATTGTATATGGCATAGCGGACATTTTAAAAGTGAGGGGGGCAGCTGAATAAGATCCAAAAGTTTACGTTCATATAACTATTCATCATTAATTAAAGATGTTTAACATGTATTAATTCGATTATAAACCTTACCATTTGGTGAGTAAGTGTGCTATTCTTTGCTTCTGAATGGCTGCATTTAAATTTCTTGTCGTGTTTGGTGTGGTGCAAACAGGCAAATTGCTTTTCATTGCAAATCTTGTCATGTACCATGTTGTTGGGACGCGGGGTTACAATGTAACCTGTTCACTAATGTTTATGTTCGTAATATTTAGATTATTTGCTATTTCCTAACCTCATGTGGAACTCTGAATCTGCGTCTCATTTTGAATTCTGCTACTGTCCACAGGGGGTTGCATTTCGGTCACGGACACATGCTTTGAGATCCTTTCTGAATTAATGAATCAGATATGCTAGTTTCCAACAAGGCAACCTGGGGGCTGAAATATAATTGGCTAAAGTTGTATGTTACTTCGTATGTTATAGAATTTTTATGCTTTAGACAGTGGCGGAGCTAAATTTTTTTATTGGGGTGGCCACTGCTATTATAGAGGGTACACACGCACACGCACACGCACACACACACACACACACACACACACACACACACACACACACACACACACACACACACACATATATATATATATATATATATATATATATATATATATATATATATATAGGCAGTGGCGCAGTAGGTAGTTTAAGTTGGCGTTTCTGTGTGGAGTTTGCATGTACTCCCTGCCTTCGGGTGGAAAAGTCTTATTTGTTGTATTTTTGCTAGAATAAAAGCGGATTTTTTTTAAACCATTTTAAGGGACAAAATTATTAGCCCCTTTAAGCTATTTTTTTCAATAGTCTACAAAACAAATCATCATTATACAATAACTTGCCTAATTACCCTAACCTGCCTAGTTAAACTAATTACCCTAGTTAAGCCTTTAAATGTCACTTTAAGCTGTATAGAAGTGTCTTGAAAATATCTAGTTAAATATTATTTACTGTCGTCATGGCAAAGATGAAATAAATCAGTTTTTAGAAATGAGTTATTAAAACTATTTTGTTTTGAAATGTGTTAAAAAAAATCTGCTCTTCATTAAACAGAAATTAAGGAAAAAAATTAACAGGGGCGAATAATTCTGGGGGGCTAATAATTCTGACTTATATACAACAGTGCTGTCTGGTTCTCGAATGGGATTGGCTGATAGTCATGTGATATTCTGCAATACCAGAACTACTACAGCCTCTCCACCTTTCTGTCTTACTCTGACCACACAGAGTGAAAGCAGATCAATAAACTCACAGCTGTTTGACAAATATTGCAGCTGCTGGACAACATAATTGTACTTATGGGCGAGAATGTAGTTGTTAGGGTTGCAACTATGCAGCACCATCCACAAGATGGTGAAAGAGACCGCATAATAAGCCCTTAGAGGAGGATAAACCCAGTGTAATTTTAAACTACAGCTGATCAAATCACTATAAATCTGGTAAGTGATTTTCTAAGTCGATCTCTCTCTTTTTTTTTTTGATGTAGTGTTGTTTTTATACCATAGTAATTGTAGTTTGTTGAGTGTGAGATTATACTGAATGCAGACTAGTTCAGTAAACAGAAAGAAAGAAGAAATGCCTGCATGTGTTTAGCATTTTTCCTTATTGCAAATACAACAGTAATCTGGTAGTGATTGTGCTCCTTCAGCTTTTTCAGGGTTAATTATTGTGATATCCTGATTGCAACAGAGAATTACTGGGAGATATGTCTGTAGATTGATGGCATTTTATGCCATTTAGCCTTATTATCTTTAAATGTGAGCTAAATCAACTGTTTTGTCATCACTTTGACATTATGCAGGAGAATCATTCAAACACTAGCTCTAAAGTGACAGAAGTGAAGTAACAACGTGGAAGAAAGTAGGTCCTTTTACAAAAAGGTTTTTAGACTCTTTTATTTTCATTTTCTTTTTTAAATACTCAATTATGCCGTCGAACTGTTGTACAAATGCAATATCACACGAGTAGCAGTGGATGTGGCTGTGTATCATCACTGGTGGCACACTAAGGTAACAAAAGCCTCCCACCAGTGTCGATATACAGCCACATCACACTGCTACTCATGTGATATTGCTCACATATATATATATATATATATATATATATATATATATATATATATATATATATATATATATATATATATATATATATATAATATATTTACATATTACAATATTTACATATTTATATTTTTATGTTAAGTTGAAATATGCAAGTGACGCATGGTTTAAATGAAAATGCTCTGTTTTGCATATCTTTCTAGCACAAAAAATCAACATTGAATAATGTGAGGTTCAATTTTAATTCAAACAATGTAATTGAAAAATTTTAACAAAAAGAACTCTTATAGGTTTTTGGGTATTTTCTTTACATTAGACTAAAAAAGCTATAATATAAAATTTCAAAACAGGCTGATGCATCAAAAACATTGATTTTGACTGTGGTGCCTTGCCTTAATTTAAAAAGTTACCATTGAACTGGCGATTAACATCATTTGATATACCTGCCAAAACCAATTTAAACTCACATTTTACGCTTGGCAGGCATTTATTTTAGACCCAGAGTGAATTTAATTATGCTCGATTTTTTAGATATTCTGTAAGGAAAAGTGATTTTTACAATCATGGTGCAGAAATGAATTCCTTACTTTCCATTGAGAGCGGTGACTCCGACAGTGCTGCGCGGGGTCGACATACTGGCCACATAATTCCACTGCCTGGCCTGCGGGTCCCACCTTTCTACTGTGTTCAAATAGCTCCATCCGTCATGACCTCCCACTGCATACATGGGGCCCTCGAGCACAGCAATTCCTTCCCAAAGAAATAAATAAAAAACAGAAAAAGATAAAGCTTCTGCGGGTGCACGTCGTCCATCAGACAATGCACAATCCCTCTGCAACTGTCTGGATTTGTCTTTGTGCCTTAGCTAAATTGGCAAATGGTGGAAATGGTGTTAATATTAACGAACATCAAAAGCACTTCCCTTTTAACCAGATATCAGTAGTTAAATCATTCTTTCAGTCCAGCTCGAGGACAAGAGCCGTGAGATGCTGTGGTAAGCATTAAGTATTCATGGCGCATCTCGCCGCTCCCTTTACAGAAAAGGTCTCTCATGTTTCTGTTATAAATCTCTGGCTGTCGCTTTTGGGGTCTTGACATATAAATCGTCTCTTGACCGACATTTTAGTTCTGATATTGCTATGCACACTGCAGACCTCAATGACCAACCTTTGACTGTCATTTTTATGGGATTACTGTGCAGTGCATTTTCTCCACTATGAGTTTAAAGTACCTGCTGTATTTTTTATATACATTTTTATGTGTAGCCCAGATTGCTTTTGTTAATTTATATGTGGCAGTTTTGATGTGTGGCTGTACAGTTATTTTATTGTTGTTTGGCATTGGAGTCACACAGTTCATATTATGCTCAGTTTGCCTTGCCTACTGAAATAAATGCTTGCTTTGTTTTAAAATGCAACATATACTTTTTATGAATTTCAATTTTATGTTAAGGTTAGTGAATTTAGTGTTTTGCATATCAATTGGAACAAGTAAAACGTGTCACGAAAGTCAGTACTTCACACTGCAAACTACATATAATAACCCTTTATGAGGCATTCATTGCAATACTTATTGGAAAAAAAAAACACTGGAGTGTGTAATTTGGACTTTTATTCTATTATGATGATGTATTTCCAACTAAAGGGAAATACTGAGTAGAAGGCGAGCTTTATTTTTGTACTTCTCCGCTCATCTTTCACTTGCAGCAAACAAACAGTTGGAGGGGCATGGCTAAACATATTTTGATAATGTAATTAAACTGACATCACCAGAGAAGGACTGCCATTCCAGAGAGTAAGCAAATTGTCAGATTTTGATTAAAGATTAGCCAAACAGATCTATTGTTCACCTTAAAGGCTGATTTATACTTGACACTTGAATGTGTGCGGCGACTGTGACGTCATCATGGTGTTTGTGGAGGTTCCCTTTGGGTGTGAGCATCATGATTTGGGCTGACGGAGCGCATATAGTTTAGGTCTTAAGCAAACTGTTCATGCAGCGCCGCGTTTGAATTGAATATGAATCACTTTGAAGACATTTTGTCTGAAACAGGTATGCCTGTACAGACATCTACAGTATGATCCGTCCATGCGTGATCATAGGAATAACCATTGCCATTAATTCTTGCCTAGAAATTGCAACAGACGTGGGAAACAAAGAAAGATTTTGTTAAAAAGTTTAGAAAAACTAACGGGATAAGTTTCATTCATTCATTCATTTTCTTTTCATCTTAGTTCCTTTATTAATCCGGGGTCTCCACCACAGAATTAACTGCCAAATTATCCAGCATATGTTTTATGCAGCGGATGTCCTTCCAGCTGCAACCCATCACCCGCACACACATTCACACACATACACTACAGACAATTTAGCCTTCCCAATTCACCTATAGTGACCTACCTATAACCCACGCAAACACGTGGAGAACATGTAAACTCCACACAAAAATACCAACTGATCCAGCCGAGGACCTTCTTGCTGTGAGTCGATTGTGCTACCCACTGTGCTACTGTGACACCAAGGGAGAATTGCTTTTAACCCGAAAAGGGAAGCCTAAGCAAAAGTGAAGACCCAGGTGGTTTTAATACATAATTACTGAATATGTTTTTCCATCATTTACAGGTTTTGCGCTGATGTTCATTCATTCATTTTCTTGTCGGCTTAGTCCCTTTATTAATCCATGGTCGCCACAGCGGAATGAACCGCCAACTTAACCAGCAAGCTTTTACGTAGCGGATGCCCTTCCAGCCGCAACCCATCTCTGGGAAACATCCACACACACATTCACACACACACACACTCATACATTACAGACAATTTAGCTTACCCAATTCACCTGTACCACATGTCTTTGGACTGTGGGGAAAACTGGAGCACCCAGAGGAAACCCACGCGAAGGCAGGGAGAACATGCAAACTCCACACAGAAACGACAACTGAGCCGAGATTCGAATCAGCGACCCAGCGACCTTCTTTCTGAGAGGCGACAGCACTACCTACTGTGCCACTGCCTCACCCATTTTGCGCTGAATTACATTTTAAAATGTTGAATTTAAAACCATTTATTAACTTTTTTTTTTTCTTCGATAACTGGAAAGAAATATTTGAACATTTATAGAGTCATTGATTTGATCCTTTTGGTTTCCAATATACTAATGCCCTGTTTTTCTGGGCTTTATTGATGATAATGGTCAGGAATGTTGGACCAGTAGAGGACACAAACTAGCCAGACAGAAATGTGTGAATTAGAAGTGGGCTAAATATAAATGTATTTTTTTAGTAAGAGTACACTTTGTTTGCTTTTATTCTTACCATCATGAAAAAATATATTTGTAGAGAAACCCATGATCTTTTGTCATTAAAATTCAAATTATAATTGGTAGAACTGTCCTAGATATGAACATTAGCAAGTGATGCATCAAAGTTTGATTTAAAAAAATCTGGAATGGTCCGCGATGGTGCCAGGTGAAAGTATAAATCAGCTTTAAGACCCACAATGTGTGCTAGCAAAATAAACATATTATATTTTGATTTCATGCTGAGTTTAAAAAGAATGATACTTTAAATAATGTCGATAAATAAATTTACCATATCATTCAACTGATAAAGGGTTAAATATAGGTTATAATAACACTTACAAATCAACTGCATATGCTTTCATGAAAGTGTACGCTACTAAATGTAATCCAATCATAATTAAATTAGCACCCTATTGGTTATTTATAATGCCTTGCTAACCATGCCAATCAGAAACAACTTGCAGTGTTTCGTCATTTTTATTACAAATGCTTGTGTTTAGAATTTACACAGGACTTACATTAGAAATTAGCCTAAAATCATATATTAAACTCTGATTTGTTGATTCACAGCAAACCATCTATTTTAAAATAAATACTACAGTATTATTAAATCAAAGCAGGCACCATTTCAAACAGTGTATGTTGTAAAAAAAGCTTAAATCACACCTATAGTGTACATAAAAATATTTGATTAAAAGCACTGACGTGTTGTGTTATTACCTTCCTCTATAGATCCATATGTCTGGCTTGTTCTGCCCCTTAAAACTGGACCAGATTGAACAAGCAAATACAATGTTACGAGCTTTAAAGTAAGCCATATAATTATCTCCATAAAATGTCTTACTTTACGCACAAATTAAATTTCCCTCTAAAAATGACTGCTTTTACTAAAATGAGACATCAAAAGATGCGCCCTTGCATTTCATCTGCATTTAATACTCTCAGTCACGTTTTGAGTGCCTCACACCATGGACCTATTTTAAAAGGTAAAATATCTTGAAACGCATCTTGATGCCTGTGTTCGGTTCCACTGCATGCTCCATCGAGCTACTGTTTAACCAAAACAAATCGGGTGTGAATATGAATAAAACTGCTATTATGCATGAATATTAATTGAGTCATGCAGACATGGTTTGGTAGCCTATAAAGTAAAGCCAATTATCTTAATAAATGAATAAATTTTCATCCATGAACTGTATGCCCTCATAATAGTAGGATTTCTTCTTCTTCACTAGCTGATTAGCAGTGTATTCCTCTCAGCTAATAAGTTAGGCCAACTGGGTGAACATGGCTAATTATTATTCATGAGCAAAGCCTTACAAATTGCAGCTCACAGAATGCAGTTCTAAATGTGAGAATGGTATAGAATATCTTTAATATGATTATTATCATAAAGAGCTAGTTCAAACCAAAACTAAATCTAATCTCATTCCAAAGCCATATTAAATTGTTCATCTTTAGAACATAAATAAGAGGTTTTTAACCAGAGATTTCTCAAATTATAGTAACTCAAATCAATGTAAATTATGGCAAACAAATATATAGTTGTAGTGAAAGTTATAGGGCCCTATCATACACCCGGCGCAATGTGGCACAGGGCGCGGCGCAATACTTGTTTGGTAGTTTCAGCTTGGCGCAAGAGTCGTTTTGAGGCGCTATGCTGTTTAAATACCAAATGCATTAGCGCTCATATGTGCGTCCATAGGCGTTCTGATCTAAAAAGGAAGGCGTTCTGAGGCGCACTGCTGGCGCGTCGCTATTTTGAGAAACTACAATAGATTTTTCATTAGACCAAAACAAACCCGGTCCAAACTCCGGCGCAGAGTTGCGCCTCGCTTACACACTGCTTAATACACACAAGAGAGCAATAGGCAAATATCTTTACATATGAAAAAATTTAAATATAAAGGATATATATAGGATATAATAAGAATAGATATAGGATATAAATATAAAGGATTAAAATATTACAAACATACTATTTCTAGCCTACATAAATATGAAAAAATCACTGCTTTTTGAACACACTTTGTTATTATTGTTCATTTATTCGTTTGCTGGAAATTAGAACTGAATTTAGAAATAGTTTTGAAATGAATATTTGTGCTTAATAAATGCAAGTAATTATTTATAGACTAATTGATGTCTGTGCATAAAGGTTTCCCTATCCAAGAGCGAAAGTGAAAGTGATCCATTATCTCTCATTCTCACGCAGTAGATGCTCTGTTTAACAGTTTTCTGTTAAAAAACTGTTAACTGTTTGCTTGTGAAATGCTAGGTTTTTCCACCTTGACTTACTTTACGTCCTGTAAATAGCGAATGCGCTTATAGCGCGACGCAGCTGGCTCTTGGAATTTCTACCTATCGGAATGGGAGATGAGACTCTAATTGGTTTATTCTCAAAACACACCTATAACTCATTAAGAAAATAAACTCAACCCTTTTAGACCATGCGCCATGGCGCAAAGCGGATTTTCCCGTCCTTAAATTAGCAAAAACGCATTCTGACACGCCCTGAAAGCGTTTGCGCCCTGCGTTTTGCACTCTGCGCATGGACCATCAAAATAGAGCCCTTAGTGTGTTTGTCTAATAAGATTAGACAAACATCTGAAACATTTAAAGAACTTACCTAATCCGTGTCTGTGGGTTGACATTGGAGGCATGGTGGACCACACTTTAGTTATTGGGTTGTAGCACTCCACCATGTTTGAGGTCTTGAGCCCATCTCGTCCTCCTACCACATAGAGTTTATTATCGATCACTGCTACCCCAAACTGAAGTCTTCGTCCATTCATGACGCCAACTTGGATCCATCTGTTTGTGCGAAGGTCATATTTCTCTATTGTTGTAGACCCTGAAGTCGACAGAAGACCTGATTATTGTTGGTTAGAAATGTGTAATGCTTTGATAATAGATGTAAAACAGGGGACAGAAATTGAAAATGAGCATGACCCATGCTGAAAAATTATTTTAAAATGTATTTTAATTGTAATGAGAGATAATGCTTTTAAATGTTTTTTTTTTTTTTTTTTACAGAAATAAATAGTTATATGTGAACCTTTAGAGGCGTCCATTCCTCCAACAGCATACAGTGATCCAACAGTGGATTTTCGTGGTTTGGTTCTTGGGCTCTGTAACATGGGACGGCGCTCTGGCAGAAGATGGTATTTCATGGCTTCCATCAAGAGCTTCTGACATTCCAGGTCTTCAGAAAACATCTTATTGTTTTCCAGATCCGCAAGAAGCTAAATTAAAAAGGAAATAAACAAGATTCAGGTGATGATTGCTAACAAGAGATAATTTTCAGCTTTAGTTAGCATACTGTCAGGTTTTTAAACTAAAATTCTCTTCAAAACTGTATATGTGACCCTGGATAGGTGCATTTTTTAAGCTGAAAAAATAAGATTCCTATTGATGTGTGTTTTGTTTGTTTAAATAAGACAATATTTGACTGGAATACAAGTATTAGAAAATCTAGAATCTGAGGTTTCAAAACATCTAAACATGGGAAAAATTTATTTTGAAAATGATCTGAATTAAGCCCTTAACAATGATAATAATAATAAAAAAAATGAATACATTTACAGTAAGACGTACAAAATGTTCAACCCAATCTGAAAACGTAGTCACATAAACACTTCTGGAGACCATGAAAATACGTGCAGTTTTTGTTTTCGCGAATCCATGAGAGGCTTCTGTGTGCACTTTTTTTGCATCTCAAATTTCTCTCGAAGTGCATTTCGCGCTCGCGCTGTTCTCGCGTAAACCCACCAGAGGCTGCTGTTGATAGACCGTCAGTCTGACTGACTGAATGACTGAATGCACGACTGGGCGACCGGCCAATCGACTGACCCACCCTCCTCCTACCCTAAACCTAACCAATTTTATCGATTGACCCACCCACTTACTTCCCTAAAACCAACCAACGATTTACAAAAGCCGTCCAGAAAAAGAAAAGCCCTCATCTGATTTTTATTACACTCTCACCCTGTTATTCAATTGTTTGTTTTATTTTTTTAGATTCTGTTTTTGTTTTACCTGATTTCTGGAACCGCTCTTCCCTGGACTCAAACCCAGTCATTGATGTCATGGACAAATCATCTCTGTGTCTCAAGTCCACCAACGTACACGGCGAGCTAACTGGACAAACTGGTTGCGGTAGGAAAGCCCTCCACATGGAGGTAAGCGGCCAGCTGGTAAGCGCGAAAAAGAAGGCGTCATTACCGCCCTGTATCATTCGCTTAAAAAAATGAAATGCACCGGCCTTCAGAAACGTCCATAGTACTACGTTTTCAGAATGAGCCTGTGTTGCAAATGTCTTTACAAAACATAATCTATGCTTATTTATTTATTTATTTATTTATTTATTTATTTATTTATTTATTTATTTATTTTGGCATAAAAGAAAAAAACTGATTATTTTGACTCAAACAATGTATTGTCGGCTATATTTGCTTGTTTTGGCAAACCTGGGGTGGTAAAAGAGGAAGTCGGATATATGCCAACAACACTCCCAGATCCTGCTGTCGATGCTGCACATCATGGCGAACCCACATCATCAGGGCTTGGAAAATAGTTTCTTCATCTGGAACATTGATGTCATCACTTGCCAAAAGCTTGACAATTTCCATTGTGGGCAGCAAGAGGAACTCCTGATTCTGAATGACCTCTAGAAAATGTTCCTAATTTTAAAAAGAGAGCAAGAGAGAGGGGTCATTAACACATGCATATATGTGATGCAATGTATTTCATCAGGAATTAGCTGCAAGTTTGGAAAATGTCAAATAATATCAAACTTATATTTGGTAGTTGTATATCGTGTAGTAGTTTCTAAACCTGGTGTTCACATGTCACTGTTTTCAGGTTTAAATTATGATACTTACAAATTATGATAACACAAAATTATGATAATGACAAGATGATGTGAGCCCAGCTAGTACAGTAATATATATTTCCTCTAAGTGAGTCTAGATAAGGTAGTGTGTACTTTGTTTTTAAAAGCTTCCTTTAATGTTGTGCTATAAACGAATAGTGCTCATAAATGGTAAAGACAGCATTCGGAAACAATATTCAATATGTCATGACTTAACAAGCGGAGAGCACTGACACTAAATATATAACATCTCGTTTTGAATGATGCATTGCAGAAAATGTAAAGCAAAAAAAAGGCCATTCGCTCAGATCTTCTTCACCATTCATCTCAGCGCAATAATGATCTGCTCCGATGAGCCCTCAAGGACGTCCAAGTCTGCCCTCTGATAAAACCGTTTTGCAAGGTTCAACTGGCAGCATGAGAAGAAGATGCCGGAAATCTCTCTAACAAGCTTGTTCATTACTTATGGCACTTTCAGAGTTTCCTTTGTGCATCCGAAGTAATCCTCATTGATTCTGCTGCAAATAAGGGTAGTAAACATCCTATTGATCATTAATCAGATCTAAACAGCACCGTCTCTCTAAAGCCATGCATGGGCTCTCGAAGCTTAGCTCAGACACACATAATTAAATGAGTGCCATGCATTGATTTTCAGCCCCTCCTCAATATAGATTTAAACTCGACTTCTTCTGGCGACACTGATATAGATTCATTATTCGTAATTACCATCACAAGCACCCTGGCAATTAATTGAATACATTAATTCTGAATCACTGCAAACATTCGTTTAAAAGCTTCTCACGGGCGTATTTTAGGAGAGGGCGTTCAACTGAACAACAAGTAACAGGTCCTGCACCCAAATTAGCGTGAGAGGCACAAGGCTCTATAAGACTTAAATGGATCCAATCGTAAGGGAGGGTGTGAGAATTTAATGGGTTGTGCCAAAACTTATGCATGAGGGTTAATATAACCGGGGGCAGTGTTTGTGTTGTCAGTCATTCATCTAAGTTGCTTTATTCTGCAAATGTTTTTTTTTTTTCCTCTTATGACTGAAAACGACAGTTAATTTTTCTTTTTACAGTCGAAAAAAAATACCTAGACTTCCAGCATGCTACAGGCCATCGAATCTTGAACTAAGATATTAAGCCGTGTAACTGCTGCTTCTCTCAAAAAGACATCAGGATGCCAGGAGGAGACAGAAACGAGGAAAAACAAGCTTATCAAAATAGACATTTTTTTTAATCTGAACACCATGGTGAGCAAACCAGGAAGCTCTGTTAACGCTGGGTTCATTACCGAGGCGATTGAACAGGAAATTTTCCTGCTTGTGTCCCCTGATTAGATTAACCTCTCTGCACTGGAAAGGCCTTTGTAAACAGCCTGTGCAGATGTCCTTCAGGAGATAACACCTATCTTCCTAAGTTGTTTCCGCACTTGGGCAGAGAAATGCCCATCAAGCAAATGTGTTCTGTGGATCCTTGGGCTCCTGAGAATACTTAATGTATTGGCATTATTCAACTGAAAGCTGCTTTTGCTATATTTCTCACACATCAAAGAGCTCTGCACAACCCTTTAAACTGACCGCATGCAGAGATACAAAATGTCACATCGAGAAATTTTATGCTTGGGATTTTCTGTGTCAGTCACTCGGGTTTGAAGCTGTTTTTCTACCATGCAGAGAAAAAAATTAGGTACTAACAAGAATTCATTTTTGTATTTCAGCCAAATTGTCACCTTAGATTTATAAAGTTCTATCTGACATTTTTGTCAAAATTGAGGTATTTACATATTCTTATTAAATGACAACATATTTACTTTAGGGAAGTTTTTTATAATTTGTATATATTTCAAGACTTTTTATTAAAAAAAAAAAACAAATGTTACGCAGAAACGGTTTGCTATGGACTGCGAAAACTTTGAAGCTCAATATCTCAAAATCATTCAGAAAACAGATAGAACCTTATAATTCCAAGGTGACAAAATATAACAATTCTGTCATTTATCAATCCTAATGGTTTTATTTTTCAAACCCTTATGAGTTTAGTTTGGTCAGTGAAATACAACTTAAAAGGGTCTTACTACTGTATATACTGTACAACAGAAGTAAAACAACACTAGGGTGGAAAAAGGTTTTTAAAAATTCAGTATGTATTATGCACTCCATTCCAAGCACTCCGAAGTCATAAAATACATTCCATTCTGTAATTTATTCAAAATCTTGCCTTGAAAATCTCTGCCATAAATTTCTCCCTTTGTGTTCCACAGAAAAGGATCAATCATATGGGGTTAGAAAGACGCAATGCAAGCAATGGCAAGTTCAGACTTCACAGTGCACTGTGAGAGTTTTTGTCTTGTTTCTATTCTAAGTATCTAAACATTCTTCATTTAAAAAGTATTTTCTTTAAAAAAAAAAAAAAAGAAAAGAAGTCAAATTAAATTTTAGTTTTCTTTAAAATATTCTAAATAATCTGCTAATGTGGAAAGTTAAATATTTTTCAAACAAGATTATTTTACTTTGGTTATTTTGTTTGTTTTAAGTTAAAAACTCACTTAATTTGACATTCTTTCAGAAATTAAATTTTTTTTTAGATATTTAAACTAACTACTCCAAGTAAGAAGTTTGCAGTGATCTTTCATATGTTGTGATATGCACTTTGTTGATTAATGTGGCTTTGAATCTTAAATTCTCGTCATGTCATAGAAATAAACATGTTACAAAACATTTTGCATTTTGAACAGTTTTTTTACCATCTACAACAATGTACACAATAACACTGAGACAACGGACCTTGCTACTGCTACAGCAAACAAGAGTGTAAACAAACAACAGCTAATAAAGTGCCTTGTTTTGTACTGGCTGTCTTGTTGTCAAAACAGCCCAACAAACATTTGCTACATTACATAAGTCCACCTGGTACCACTGGCATTGTCTCTGTTTCTTTTCCCCATTTTTGAACTATGGGGAGACGTCACTGAAGCTGTTGTCAAAAAGAAGAAAAAAAAAGCACGCTAGTCTTTCTGTCAAAATGTTGTGAAGTGTCCCAGACATTCAGGATTCAGGACATACAGATAGAGAGCTATGAAACCCCACATGAGGGGTGTTTTAATTAGAAAATAGTATAAATATTACAATACATTGTGATACACTCACCAGCCACTTTATTAGGTACACCTTACTAGTACCGGGTTAGACTCCCCTTTTGCCTTCAGAACTGCCTTAGTTCTTCATGGCATAGATTCAACAATGTAATGGAAATATTCCTCAAAGGTTTTGGTCCAGGTTGACATGATAGCATCACATTTACTGCAGATTTGTCAGCTGCACATTCATGATACAAAATCTCTAGTTCCGCCACATCCCAAAAGTACTCTATTGGATTGAGCTCTGGTGACTGTGGAGGCCATTAGAGTATACTAAACTCATTTTCATGTTCAAGAAACCAGTCTGAGATGATTCACACTTTATGACATGGCACGTTATTTTGCTAGAAGTAGCCATCAGAAGATGGACATGGTCAGCAACAATACTAAGGTAGGTTGTGGCATTTACACAATGCTCAGTGTGTACTAATGGGCCCAAAGTGTACCAAGAAAATATCCCCCACACCATTACACCACCAGCCGAAACCGTTGGTACAAGGCAGGATGTATCCCTGTTTTCATGTTGTTGATGCCAAATTCTGACCCTACTATCTGAATGTGGCAGCAGAAATGGAGACTCATCAGACCAGGCAATGTTTTTTCCAATTATCTATTGTCCAGTTTTGGTGAGCCTGTGCAAATTGTAGCCTCAGTTTCCTGTTCTTAGCTGCACCGATGTGGTCTTCTGCTGCTGTTGCTCATCCGCCACAAGGTTTTTATGTGTTGTGTGTTCAGAGATGCTCTTCTGCATACCTTGGTTATAATGAGAGGTTATTTGAGTTACTGTCGCCAGTCTGTCGATTCTCCTCTGACCTCTGGCATCATCAACACATTTGCACCCTCGGAAATGCTGCTCACTAAATATTTCCTCTTTTTGGGCCATTCTCTGTAAATCCTAGAGATTTCTGAAATACTCAGACCAGCTCATCTGGCACAACCATGGCACATTCAAAGTCATTTAAATCACCTTTCTTTCGAGTTCTGATGCTCGGGTTGAACTGCAGCAGATCATCTTGATCATGTCTACATGTCGAAATTTATTGAGTTGAGTTGCTGCCATTTGATTGGCTGATTGGAAATTTGTGATAGCAAGCAGTTGTACAGGTGCACCTAGGTGCAGCAGTTGTACAGTGTGTGTGTGTGTGTGTGTGTGTGTGTGTGTGTGTGTGTGTGTGTGTGTGTGTGTGTATATATATATATATATATATATATATATATATATATATATACATACATGATCACAAGTTCAATCCTACATACAGTGCTTCCTAATTTTCTCCCTCTTACTCCCTTTTATTTGACTATTCACTGCTTTTTCAGGAGTCGCCACAGTGGATTGAACCGCCAAATGCTTACAGCTGCACATTTCCTAATTTTATTGATGGTTCATTTAGGTTAAGTTGGTAGTTGTGAGGAATTAGACGCAAGCAGAGCACTGCTGTTTGTATAGAATATGACATCATCTGCATCATCTGCTGCTACAAACTAAGCTCAGAATTGATTTAAAAGTGAATGGAGATAAATTTTGAAGATTTCTGAATCTATATAGAATTGATTTTTCACCACCACTCAGAATCACATACTAAGAATCATACCCAAACTAGTCATCAACAGTTTATAAAACAAAAGGCAATGATGATAATAATTAAAAAGCATAATTTGAAACAACATTTCAAAATAAGTTTATAAAGAGCCAAAACAACAATAGCAACAGCAACATAAACCAGCGAATACTAAAACAGTGCATTCACATAATTTATTCATGCCAGAGTGCATGCTGGGAATACTGCCAGTGTAGTGCTGTAGACTTACTAATATAGTTAATCTGTAAATATACAAAGATTACAGTAATGCTCACTGTGAAATCTGCACCATTTAATCATACTGTTGGAATCACTACTGTGTGAATAATTGTGAAAGGTTTACAACTACTGCAGCAGTCAGGACAAAGCAATTCGTTCAGCTAATTTATCATATAAACAATCCAAGCTACTTTGTATGCCAGGTCCTACCATAGTGTAGTTGTGAGCGACTTTTAAAAGATCCGTGCATCCCTGAGCATCAGCAAACGAACGAATCCCCAGGCAGTTGGACGGGTGCAGTTGTTTCATCAGAAAGTTGCAGCAGACCTGAATAACTTGTGAGAGCTGGAGGAGACAAGCGGCAGCTAAAAGACTTTCAATCGTCTCCTCTTTTAGCTCCAGGACTCCTGCAAATGCGGAGAAAAGAGCAAAATAGGCAGGAAACTTTTCAGATTTGTTCTAGGAATGAAATACTATATTTAGCCTGTGTAGACATAAGAAGTTTAAACAGTTAGTTTAGGCTTGTAAATTTCTGTTTTGGCCACTGGCATCAATGAAACAGTGGGAAACATTTGTGACATTTTTGCTGTGTACTGCATATTTAAAGTATATATTGCAAGTGGAATGTACTGTAGCTACTTACCAGTATATGCAAAATGAACCAGTGCTCTCAGCGCCTCAGGATCAACACCCTCCATTTTAATTTCCTCTTGTTTGGCCTCCCTCACATCATTGGTGAACATGGCAGCAAAGTAGTCTGAAACTGCACTCAGGACAAGTCTGCAAATAATTGTGCAAATTGTTTATATGTGTGACCGCATACTTCATGATGTAGTCAAACAACATCTCGGGAGTTGTCTTTGTAGAAAATTCCTCCCCTACAAAAAGATTGATCTCAGTGCGATTTTAGCAGCTATATTCACCAAGTTGTTTCATGCAGCTCTGGGGTGATGTTGATTGAGCTCCGTGTCAAACTGGGACACGCAGCTGAGCTTTGGCTACAGAGAATTTTCCAGCAGAATAGCATCAAAACACTCAGCGGCCGAGAGGTTTCTCTAAATAAACACTGTTTTAGAGTCCTTGAAGAAAGTTCAACATGCTCAGTAGTTTGAAATGGAGCATGCAGCAGAGTTTTGACTCTTGGTGCTGTAATTTGCATATTTGTTCTTAAAACACAAATTGAACATGTTGTTTAAATTTTTTGTCATCATTTAATCAGCTTTTACTTGTTCTAAACCTTCATGATTTGAAAATACAATATTCTGAAGACAGCAGGAAACTTGTGACCATCAACTTCCATTGTATCTTTTTTTCTTATTATGGAAGTCAGTGGTTTTCAGCTTCTTACAAAATATATTGCTTTGTCTTTAACAGTTTAAATAAACTCTGGAACCAAAATTAAGAGTGAGTAAATGGTGAGTAATCTTTCATTTTCACTATTACTTATCACAATACTTTACAGAAAGCTTTAAAATATTAAATTTCCATGACATTTTATAAAATAAATAGATCATGTGTGCTATAATTCCCTTTTTTAAGGTATACAGCTTTGTGTGAGATTCAGACTCTAGCACATTTTTACATCTTGCTGGAAGAAGTATAAAATCCAACAGTGGGATCTCACAAGTGCACACACCATTCATTTTCTCCACAGAGAAATTGATTTTTAAAAGTAACTGAGAAAACTCTACAGATAGACTTGCAGCTTAGAAGCTGATAATATATAATTTATGCTGTTGTTGAACCTATCCTAGGCATTAACATTCCAACCCATCTGTTGGCATTTCAGATTATTTGTATTAAACAGTGGAATCCAAGCAAACAGATCTACATTACCCATGATAATGTAAAATGCCACCAATCAAAGATTCACAACAAAGCATGACAAAAAAGATCTTTAGCCCTATCACGAAGCAGCCCAATAAATATTTTTATTTTTGCTATAAAAATTACATACATTTGTATCAATACATTCTGTAATTTTAAATTAATTGGTTAATATTTTCTAAAGTTGTTTTTAAAGGGGTATTTCACCAAAAATAAAAATATAATCACCATTTGGTCCTAAAAACGTTTTTCAGTTTCTACACTCAAGAATGTTGGTAACACATAGTAAATGACACCCATAGTAGGGAAATAAACATTATGCAATTCAAAGGGTACTGGGTGTCAAAATTGTTAGAAATATCTTCGTTTGTGTTCAGCAAAATAAAGAAACTCAAACAGGTTTGGAAAAAGTTGAGGATGACAGAATTTTAAAATTTTGAGTGAACTACTCCTTTAAATTAAATGTGTCGTGCAATCCTTCTTATTAGTGCAGTTATTTCTCTTATTCTATTCTTTTATTTTATCCTAAAGCCATTTGATACACTGTCTATACCTTTTTTCAGAATTTTAAATACTTCTACATTTTAAACAAATGTTTATAATGTTGTGATTCGCCATTTAGCTGGTTGGTTAATGGTTTGCAACAGTTTAACGAAATGTATGTAATTTTAAACTCTATAAGAAAAAATACTTCCAGAACCAAGACTTCAGTCATTTTCCTAAAACATTTTCATAAATTGAAAGTTGATTCAACCGTAACACTTTTGAAATGTAAAAATTGAGCAGATTTATCCAAGACATCCGAAGCGACATGATCTGATGAAGCAATTAAGTTTGCTTGATGCACAAGAAGCCACTGAGGCTATATTTTGTTATGAAGATGAATAAACTCCTTAAGGGCCTGAAACAAAATTGTATGTGTAAATGATCAACTGTTTTGTACTATTCTCAAAGTTAACATATTACTTCAGAAGACAATATAAGAATGCAGCTCATGAATCACATGAAACTCTTTTATGTTTCTTGTGCAGCTTTACTGAATAATGAAGACTCATGTTTATTTCATGAACAATGTGAAAATTCATTTTTTGTGTTCCATAGATAAAAGCATACTTTTGGGCCTGTTAAGGCAGCAGATACAAAGTTAACTAAGAGCATTTTATAAGGTTGCTTGCCCACTGCAAATGAATAGTAAACAATCTTGATGTCTTTTAAGTTGTTTCAAACCCATATAGTACAACTTTATTCTAAATTTAAACAACATACCCAAGCTTTTAAAAAAAAGAAAACTAATGGTTTAAGAATATCCTCCCAAACAGTTTTGCTTTGTTTGATGACAATGTAATACAATAGAGGTGATAGGGAGGTAAAGGGATGCTGCAAAAAAAAAAAAAACATAGCTGAGAGAGCTCAACACTGAAAACGCATTATTTGCCTCCTAATTAGTTGCTGTCTAAATTTTTTTACAATGTCAAATACATTTTCTAAGTAACTTGCATTATATTAAACTGACTTCAAAAGTTAAAATACATTTAGTTAAAAAAATTATAATTTATACAATGAATGATTGCTTTTCATCGCAGTCCCTTTAAGACAAGTAATTTTACTCGACGGCCATTTTTAAAACACCTCTCGGGCAGTATGCTCAGGAATTCTGTGTGTGGGAAAACATTAAAAAATCCAAAACTGTTTGCCAAGTTTAAGATTACAATACATATTTGGAATTACCAATAAAAATAAACAACAACTGTCTCATAAGTTTTGTTTCTAAACATTCAAATCAAACAAAATTAAGATTTTTCAGGTTGCTTGAGTTAAAGTGCAGGCACACTCGAAATGAACGAGATCACGACACCAACCTCATTTATGGCCGTATACACATCATCATCATCTAAATAATACTTTGTTAGATCACGCTGGTCTTCTGAAGTAATTCACAATTTGGTTTTGACGGTGAAATAACAGTGACTCTTTGGCTGCATTTACACTGCAGATCTTGATGGTCAATTCCGATTTTGTGACTGTATCCGATTTTTTTGAGGACCTGCTTACATCATCTTTTAAAGATGACTCATATTCGATTGTCTGCATTTACACAGCACATGGCAAAGGCGCAATGACCAGGAAAAAAAAAGAGTGGGCGCTGACTAACAGCTAATTATTAAATAGTGCTATTTTCTCTATTCCTGTATGTAATCTGTTCGCAGCTCTAGACAAGCTGTTTTAATATAGTTTATTAAAGAAATGTTTTCAATTGTCCATCTTTATTTGATATATAGGCTTTTTGTAAACCTTTTGGCATCTTAATGTAATGGCCATGGCATGATTTATGCACGTGATGTAGCTATGCACTAGTTTTATTTTAGTTTTTATTTGTTATGTGGCAAACATTGCGCTCTTCACTCTCGTAAACATGCTTAAATACCTGTACTATATAACAATATAAAAGCTGTTTAAGAGCTCGTGTATAAGGTTTAAGGTTTGGGACTCTGCTGTAGTCTGTTCTGAAATGAAAGTGTCGGACTTGGTGTCATTCGCTATGGTTTTTAATGATGCATGACTCGCATTGACAGGTGAAAATCCGACCTGCTTACACTGCAGACACGAGAACACAAATCCGATTCATATAGGATAAATTTCCACATATGAACAAGGCCTGAATCTGATTTTAGTAAATCGGAATACATGTCATTTGTTCCTTCTTACACGTACAGGACATGAGCCATATCTGATCTGTGCCACATTGGAGAAAAAAATAGTAATTGAGTCACTTGAACAGTGCAATGTAAATGCAGCCTTTGTTTACAGATTTGTGGACGTTTGTGTAGTAGCTTTTATGTAATGTGCATTTAACAGGACGGACTGTACCTCGTGTTCGTTTTTATAGATTACAAAACCAAAAAGCTTTTGTGTTCAAGTGTAGTTGGTTAATTTAAAAGTACAGATTTCAAACTTTATGTGGATGTATGTCTTATGTCTGTAAAGCAAGTATTCGCTGAGATTCCAGCCTGTTTGTTGTCCACCAAAACTGTTGTAAAAGCACTCGTCTGGTCCGAGCTTCTTCCCCGGAGAAACATCAGTCTATAATGATCAATGATTGGTTCATGTACTAGTAGGTGGGGCTTCATTCACCATATTGACCGTAACACTTTTTCCCATTCAAAACTGTAGAAGTCATATCTTGTGTATTCTAGTGTTTGTTTTCATGCTTGAAATAGGAATAATTGATTAAATGACTGATCAGTCTCCTTTCAAACATATGTTTTGATGTATTAAGTGGCTATACTAATAGTTTGAATTAGTCTAAGAATGAATATTGATTTTAATTGATTTCTAGAGTAGAAGTGCACTACATTTTCAGCAGTGTTCACTTCTGTCCTGTTCATCAGTTTGTTTTTCCACTTAAAGTAAGATTTTTTTGCAGGTAAGATGGCTTGATTTGGGGAATACTCACCTGTGTGCAGGGATCTTGTGATCTCCAGCTATCAAAAGTACATCACACAGCTGCTTGTGCTGAAGATAGGTTTCCATCTTTCGAAAGGTCTGTTCCGCATGATTTGTGGCCTGGAAAAACTCATCTGAGCAGTTGGAGCTCATCCTAGAGAAACTGCTCAAAGCCAACCTGTGGGACAGAGGAAGACTGCAGTTGAGCTGGGACTCTGCGATTTGGGCTTCTGACAGTTTGATGGGACTATTTGATCTACCCGGGTGATAGGGAGAACTAAACTACTACCTGCACAAGCTGCTGTGTCCGCCTGTGACTTTATCTTTTATTTTTTCTTCAACTGACCCACCAGTTCTGAGACTCCACAGAGTTCTGCTGACTGACAGGTCATGTTGGAGAAAAGAGCATTTCGGCAAAGTATGAGTCACAGGCGTGCATTTCAAACTGCAGTATCCTTACAGCTCCAATAGCTGTTTGCTCAAAGACAACAAAGAGAAAATTTATATAACTCATATTGCTCACAATCAATTGGTCCAATCTTCTATAATTTAGTTTGAGTGATTTGTATAATAAATGCTGTTTTGGACCCTTGTGTTGATTTTCATTTTTTTGTATAAGCTACTGAATTATTTGTGTACATATTCCTGAAATATGTGCTAGGCAATGGTAATGCATTATTTAAACATGCAGAGCTAATGGATCTCTAACAATTGACAACCATGAAATCTAAACAGGATTTCAAATATGAATTTTGTATATTATTTAAAAAGCGGTAAGCAAGAACGATCTTAATAAATATGACATGAACAAATTTGTATCAATTTCTTTCAATTTCCTCAACAGCATTATAGTAGGAAAATGGCTTTGCCACATGCATGCTGTTCACATCATTACAAAAGAAACACATTCCTAGCTTTTCTTTATCAATTAGACCTACTGATAAGTACTGTTACCTTCACTATGGGTTATATGCTAGTGTTGTTCAGCCAATGATAAACTTCCAGTGAAATGTTTGTGTTATTATTTTCAATTTTAAAAGGTACCTTTTAAAGCATCAATGTTGTAATGTAATTCAAAAATAGTCAGTTAAATAGACATTTGGTTGTTAAAGCATAAAAGAGCAGAAAGACAGTTTAAACGCAGATGCCATTATTATTTGCAGGCTAGGGCAAAAACTTCCTTAAAAATACTGGGGTAAAATTAATTTCCATATTTTAAAGACATGGTGCAGAAAAATATAATTTAATGCTGCGCTTCTTGTTTGGTCTGATATCCACTTTATATCATATACCTATCAGGCAGTGAAGATCGCTGTTTTTTTAAAGAAATCAGATCTTAAACGCAGCAATTTTGTATTGGATGACAATTCACCGGAATCCCTGAGGCTTTGCTTACTGTGTCTGTGTGCATATACCCGGTTGTATGCTATTTAGGGTTTTATTTATGAAGTCTATTTGCACAAAATGTGAATTATTATATGCATGAATTATACATTGTGCGGAAGTAATAAAAAATACTTATTTTACTCTCAGCTGGACATAAGCGATTATATGTATATCTTCCTTCACACTTGTCAGAGCTAAAATTGAAACCATTAGCACTAAACCTCCGTAAATAAGTGGATTGAAAGCCAGAGTTTTCCAAAGGGGCAGATTACCATTTGCACAAACTTCAGTGTTTTTATTTATATATTTATTCTTTCGGATGCACAGGACTTTGTGAGGATCTGGTCTCTTCACAGAGCCTTGATAATGTAAATTCTGAGCTGCTCTCCCCGCAGACCAGTAGATTACAAGCTATTGTGCTGCATCTAAATAATCCCTCTGACTCACAGCAAACAATCTAAACCCTTTATTTTGCTGTCCTTCACGGAACAAATCTGTGGCTGACATTTAACCAGTCCACAATACTGTTCAAAAACTCCAGCTACCTTAGGGACCGTAGTAGAGCTGCGCATTTTGATTACTTTTCTTTAATAAATGCCAAAGAGAAGGGCATTTTCAAAAACGCAATAATTACGAATTGCTTTGTATAACTGGTTATATTACTTGCTGCCAAACAATGTGTCAACTTCATTGAACAAGAGTAGCAAAACTATAAAGCTGCGACTGAATATTAAAAACTGCATAAAACATTATGATCTCGTAAAAGTTTTAATTACAGAGTAAATCCCTGTGAAAGCTGGATCAATGGTTTTGTGAACTGTGACTCCGTCCTTAGAGGCGAAACATAAAGCAGAATCTCACCCTTGTGTCCTCGACTTTGAAGGCTGACGTGCTCCATCGTATGAGTTAGTTTTTAAGCATACCGCCATATAAATCACATTAATTCCAGAGTACACACCTCTGCGCTCTTTTTATAGCAGAATATCTGTGATAAGTAGTCAGTTGGCCCATTTTAAAAGATGGAGCTGCTTTGACGTGAGTTGGCTTGATGAGCAAGGTGACTCTCATACGGAATACATTATCTTTATCTCTCTGGTCAGCTGTCAGGGGTGGGTGATCGCACTGATATTTACAAGCGAAGGGGGATTGACTTCTAAACATTTAAAATTGTCCTGGGTTCCTCTGATCTAATGCCACATGCAAAGTCAGGCTCAGGCTGTCTGGATGATAGATCATACTAAATAGCCTGGTATTTCACGTAGACTGTAGAGATACAAAATATGCTTTTATTTTTGGTTTTGGAGCTTTATGTGCCCAAGCAAACTCGCTTGATTGGTATTCTGAAAAAATATCATTTTGTTTCATTGTGGTGTTTTAGTTTTCTGCTTGAAAGAAAATCAAGTGATAGAGGGGCTTTTTATGTTGCATTTTTTATTACAAATACGTGAACAGCAACTCAATTTTAAAGAAATTGAGACCTATCAGAAATTTAACAGAAAAATCAAAAAGATCTAATGTCTACATGCGTTTCATTCATGATACTATGAAATGTAGGCTTATACATTGTTCAAGATAAAGCTGAAAATATTGAAAAAGTCTATACCGGCAATGTGTCAAAGAATCAAACTAAACTTTAAGCACACCATCATAAATGTAATTGGGTGTCATGGTGGCGTAGTGGGTAGCACGATTGCCTCACAGCAAGGTCGCTGGTTCAAGCCCTGGCTGGGTCAGTTGGCATTTCTTTGTGGAGTTTGCATGTTCTCCCCGTGTTCGCATGGGTTTCATACGGGTGCTCCGATTTTCCCCCACAGTCCAAAGACATGCAGTATAGGTCAATTGAATAAGCTAAATTGGCCATAGTGTTATGTGTGTGAATGCAAGTTTATAGGTGTTTCCCAACGTTGGGTTGTATCTAGAAGGGCATCCGCTGTGTGAAACATATGCTGGATAAGGGATAAGTTGGTGGTTTATTCCGCTGTGGCTACCCTTGAATAAAAAAGGGACTAAGCCGAAAAGAAAATGAATGAATGAATGAATGAATGAATGAATGAATGAATGAATGAATGAATGTATGAATGAATGAATGAATCATAAGTGTAATTGAAAGTATTGTTGTCAACATGATCCGTATGAATTGCTGAGCCTGTGCAAACATATCCTCGCCTATTTAATCAGATGCTTTCTACACTGCTGTTTTCTCAACCGTTATTACTGTTGTGTGTGTATTTTTAATTAAGAGAAAAATATGCAGCACATATAGCAATATATAGCAATTCTGCAATTTTCACATCATCAACCACTGAAGCTAAACAGGGCAGTACCTGGATGGGAGACCACATGGGAAAGCTAGGTTGCTGCCGGAAGTGGTGTTAGTAAAACCAGCAGGGAGTGCTCAACCTGCGGTCTGTGTGGTTCTTAACGCCCTAGTATATTTTGGGGGACTCTATACTTCTCAGTGAGACATCTGAATGTCCTGACTCTCTGTGGTTATTAAAAATCCCAGGATGTCCTTCGAAAAAGAGTAGGGGTTTAACCTTAGCATCCTAGCCATCCCCATATCATAATTGTCTTAAGTGTCTCCTCTCCACCAATCACCTGGTGTGAGGTGTGTGGTGCAATATGGCTGCCGTTATGTCATCCAGGTGGATGCTGCACACTGGTGTTGGATGAGGAGATTTCCCCCAAAAATGTGTAAAGTTCTTTGAAAAAAGTGCTATATAAATGTAAGGAAATTATTATTATTATTATTATTATTATTATTATTATTATTATTATTATTATTATTATTATTAGTAGTAGTAGTAGTAGTAGTAGTAGTAGTAGTAGTAGTAGTAGTAGTATAGCAAATATAGCGAAGGCGGCAGGGATGTTCGTTTTAAGCATATTCCTGCCAAGGTATTTCCAACCTTTTTTAATTTCTAATTAAAGAACGAAAATGATCTTTGAGAATATTAATCTTGACTTGTCTGTTGTATGTTACAAGCACACAAGTGTTAGCATGAGAAATAAAGTTCACGTAATGGCTACTGGTGTCACTAATACTTATTTCCTCCCAAGTTTATATCGAAGCTGATATTTAGCAGCACCATGTTGGTGTTTTGTCACATCTAATTTTAAGGAGGTGAGTCATTAGCCCAACACTCAACCCCCAACCTGGAAGACCAGGACATACACCTATACTGTACACTACATACAATTTAGTTTACCCAATTCAACTATGGCGTATGTGTTTGGACTTGTGAGGGAAACCGGAGCACCTGGAGACTCCATGCAAACTCCACACAGAAATGCCAACTTACCAAGCTGGGGCTTGAACCACTGACCTTCTTGCTGTGAGGCGACAGCGCTACCCACTGCACCACCCGGTGTCACTAATTAAATTCTACATATGGCCTGTTTAAAGAAGACATTACATTTACATTACATTATTTACAAAAGGCCCAGATGTTTTTTTTTTGTTTTTTTTGTTTTTTTTATGAAGGAAGCATTAGCGGCTGCTATACATTTAGATATCTATAATGGCATGTTTACATCATGACTGTGGCCAGCACAAACTACTAGTCCCAGACTCCTGCTGGTCATTATAGGGTTGTTTTTTATGCTAAATAGATGGGTAATTTATCTCAGTGACATTATAACTACATTTTGGCACAGAGCTGGGTGCACTGAATAGGAAATAAGCCAACATAAGAGGGGCTGTAAAATCTAGATGCATTACTTTTGCTCAAAGGAATGCTGAGGAGACTTTTATGTCTACCAATATCAGAGAACCAAATTGCTTCTGTATCA